TGAGGCACAGGTTGTAGTAAAGATCTAGTATAGAGCTGTATGAACGGTCAGTGAGGCACAGGTTGTTGTAAAGAGCTCTGAGTGTCTTGAACTAAAATAGAAAGGAGCTGTAAAGTACAGAACATTTATCATTTACCAGCAGCTAAAAACAGAAACTGGCAACATTTCACTTAAAAGATTAAAATGAGTTGAAACAAAAAGTCTGAACGTTCCTGAAAAAGCTTCAGAAGAAACAAAAACAACGTAAACCAAATTTAACAGACTGACCCTTTAACAGAACCACAACCTGGACCTGAGCTGGTTCTGAATGAGCTGGACCCGGCCCACTGAGCACTCCAGGCCCGTTTGGTTCTGTGTGGGAGTGGGCGGCTCGCAGACTGAAGCCTGAACGACAGAACGACACACGGGCGATGAATCAGAGGAGGAGGAGGAGGAGGAGGAGAGGAGGAGGAGGAGGAGGAGGAGGAGAGGAGGAGGAGGAGGCCGAGCACGAAGGCCGCACCAAAGGCTGCATGTGTGTGTGTGGTTCTGTTTACCTGTGCACTGAATCCACGCAGGCAGAACTTTAGGAAAATAAAAATCTTCAAGCCTCTGAAAAATGATTTTGTGGTTTAGTAATCCTAATCTAATCTGACATTTTGTGTCTAAGCTGCTCGTATTTGATCCAAATGTAGAAAAAGTAAAAAAAGAGAAATTCATTTTTCAGATTTTTTAATTCGTGTTTTCCTCGTTGGGACTTGGACGAGCTGCAGGTCGTTCTTCACTTTATTCATCGTTTATTTGAGTGAAAGAACAAACTTGGACGCTCCGAGGCGACATGTTGGCTCATCTGAGCACAGAGTCTTCCCGAGTCGCCTTGAGTCGTCTCGAATCTTCCTGAGTCGTCTCGAGTCTTCCAGAGTCGTCTCGAGTCTTCCAGAATCGTCTTGAGTCTTCCCGAGTTGTCCCAAATCTTCCTGAGTCGTCTCGAGTCTTCCAGAGTCGCCTTGAGTTGTCTCGAGTCTTCCAGAGTCGTCTTGAGTCGTCTCAAATCTTCCTGAGTCGTCTAGAGTCTTCCAGAGTCATCTCGAGTCTTCCCGAGTCGTCTTGAGTCTTCCAGAATCGTCTTGAGTCGTCTTGAGTCTTCCCGAGTTGTCCCAAATCTTCCTGAATCGTCTCGAGTCTTCCCGAGTTGTCTCAAATCTTCCTGAGTCGTCTCAAGTCTTCCAGAGTTGCCTTGAGTCGTCTCGAGTCTTCCTGAGTCGTCTTGAGTCTTCCTGAGTCGTCTTGAGTCTTCCTGAGTTGTCTCAAATCTTCCTGAGTTGTCTCGAGTCTTCCCGAGTTGTCTCAAATCTTCCTGAGTCATCTCGA